AGTAAATATAGACTTGTATTTGAGAGATTGAGTATCCTCTGTAGCATGTGGTAATTATTTAATGTTCAGTGTCTTCTGCCATAGTACCACATTCTTGCTATGGATCTACTTGCCGTTACTAAAATTAACCTTTAATGCACAAATTTGTTGTAATACATGAAGATAATAACTGTGAGTTTTCATGCAACTTCTGGGTCTCTTTAACAAAGATTTAACAGTGTCCTGCAAGGCAGTCACTAATGACTCAAATTCCTTCAGGCACATCTTCTCTCTGATTTAATAAACCATTTTTATTTCCAATTGCAAACTTGGATTTATTGCAGTATTGACTAGCTTTTTGACAAGTTTTTGTAGTGCACAGGAAAGGAAATAACTTCATAGTTTGAATTTTGTTAACTCAGTTTCACCACTTTTTCATTCATATATGAGAAAAGAGTAGGGATTGGAATATCAGGAGAACAGCTTCCTTTTCTTATCACTTCAGAATAAAAATAATAACTAGAATCACTTCAGAATAAAAACGATAGCTGGTCCTGAAAACCTGAAGGAGAATGAGAAGTAATTTCTGTTCACCAATGGAAGTATTGTTCTTTGCTTTAAATTTCATTAATTTTAAATCTTAAATTGTTCATTTCAATGCAAACCCAAAAAAACACAGAAAATGTGTAATCAACACAGAATATTTGTAGTATAGTTTTAAGGCAGGTATACAGAATTTAATGGATGTGAACATAGGAATAGTCTACTACATACAAAGGTTAATTCATGGATTTATTTACTAGAACAGAGGATTCTGAGAGCTGTAGGCTTGCATACATAAACATATTTATGTAGTGTGTCAATATAACTTACCAATGTATTTACCATGCTTTGGGTAAACGAGTATTGCAGATGCAAACAGGATTGGTATTGATACAGGGTTTTGTGCTGTTCGAGATCCTTCATTAAAGCTGATAATTTTGAGCAGCCTGCCTTGATCCTCTACAGCAGATGTACGATTTGATTTGTATTTTCTCCATCAAGTCCTGCCTGCAAACAAGTGTAGCAGGTATAGTGATGAATTCATGTCCATAGCTAGTCTGCTAGGACTGTTGTCAGCTGCTTGTGTTATCACATGGTTCATCAATTTTGTGTAGTCTAAATACTGTCTCATGGTGTGTTCACCCTCAGCCTAGATGTTGGGAGATGTTAATGGAGTATTGTAGTCTAAATACTGTCTCATGGTGTGCTCACCCTCAGCCTAGAGGTGATGTTGGGAGATGTTAATGGAGTAGGTGTAATGTCTGTTAATGCCACAGTGACAAGGCTCTTGTAGTAGTATTGATTCTGCAGTGAAACTAGTTCTCAAAATACGTATTTCATCACAAAAGCATGAGTAATTCTGTGTAACTACAGAAAGGAAATCCAATGAAGGAGAAAATGCTGTCATTATGCGTTCATCATATAGTGCAGAATTGCACTTGAACCAACTTGCCTACCTTCCTAAGCTGACATATTAGAAGCTTCAAAAACTACTGATGCATTTATTTCTTAAATATGAAAGTGAAGCTCTCTCTGGAGTGACAGGTTTCTTAAAGTTCCTGAATAGCATCTGAAGAAATCCCCTAAAAGCAGTTAAACAGTTAATGAACATAGCATTACATTAAAAAAATAAGGGGTGAAGGTTAAAGTTTGAGTAGGTATTTTTGCTTTGATTTGAAGACTACATTTCCAGTTTTTCTATGATTTTTTCTGTACAAAGATTGGTGTTATGAAGTTGCTAATGTCAGAAGGTGAAGTAAAAATCAAAGGAAGTTGAGGATATAAACTCCGAAGTGCTTTGAGGAAGAAAATGTACTTTACTGCCAAATATATCTGTAAACTATTTTAAAAGGAAAAAAAAGTGTATTTTATAACTTTTAGGACTGGAAATTGTTGTTTCCTGGGATGATTGCTAAACTCTGTAGACTCCTGACTTTTTTGTTCTTTTGTTTGTTTCGTTTGGTTTGCTACCTTGTTCAACTTTGAGTTTCCTTTATGGTTTTTGCAAGTGTCTGTGACAGGAGCTTCACACAGCATTTTCTTGCAAAATTTGCTAAAATGAGACTAAATTACAGAGATTATTTTCTTGAAGCTTTGGCGATCTTTGTGTCATTATTTTTCCTCTTTCTATATAGATGCAAATGACAGTAAGGTTGGAGACTTCAAAATACTATGACTTGCCAAAACATAAATTGCATTTCATATTAGTAAAGGATTTAGGAGACAAGAATATTTGTTTACAGAGCAAGTGGTTTTATGCACCTGTGAATTTGTCACTGTAAAAAAATTAAACCTTGTAGTGAAAGCAGTTCAGAATTCAGCAACATAGGGATGGTTTTCTGATAAAGGTCTTTTGGAATATCATGTCTTGCAGTAAGTCTGAAGTGACATATAAGATGCTGATAAGGATTGAGGCAGTTTCTTATGTCAGGATAATAACAGCATATTTTTTTATCCTTAGCTGCAAATTGGGAATGATAATTTATCTTCTGTTTTTTCAGGTTTATATACTTTTTACTGTCCCATTTCAGAACAACAGACTTTTTGTCACCTTAGCATACCTCAGTTAAAATGCTTTCTAAATGTTACTGTTTTGCTATGTGTTTGTTTTTTGTGGATAAAAGCATAAATTATGGTGTTTGGCTGTTTTATTGGTGGATATGTAGTATACATGTATTCCACCAAGAATTTAGTAACGTATTAGATATTTTTCTTGGGGTATGTGCATAATGACAGATTTGCTAGCTGCTTGGCAGTGATCGTCAGCCAGTGTATGTGTTTTGGCATGCTTTATACACAGTGAGATTTATGTTCAAAATCACTATTTTCTTTACATTTCTGGGAAAAACTCAAAGTAACACTTTCTTTTTAGCTGCTTCTTTCCTAATGACTAGATAGGACTGTGTTTTGCTAGGCCTTTTGAAAGTGTGGGAAGAGAGGGCATGTTTGGAAAGCAGAGAGCCAGGACTATTTCAGGTAACCGTTGCCTTTGGCCAAACACTTTTCGTGACTTATGAGAAAACCACAACACTGCTGTTCTGGTTTGTTTGGTGTTGGTGGTTTCTTTGATGCTGGCAGGTTCTTTGGTGTTGGTGGTTTTGCTTTTTTTGTTTCTTAGTTCTTCTTCTCCTGTGCTCCCCTAGCTGCCTAGGTTGAAGTGCTGCTTGTGTACAGATAATACAATATTTGCCTAACTGGGATACACACCAGATCACTTTTTTTCAACTCATTAACTCTTCCCTACTGTTTAACCATATTTGAAGTAGTTTTAAACTCGAAGAGAACAATAAAAAATACCCAAAAACTATTACATTCTTTCATTATGATTTGATCAGTTAGGATGATCTTTGTTGTATCTGCATTTCTGCTTCTTATCAAATATTTGTAGTGTCATCAATATATGTAAGACCTGGACTCAATGCCTCTGGGATGGGATTGTCTCTGTCAGTTTCTCTTTAACATGTTTGCAAACAAGCCCATTTTAAACAAGTCTGTTATTCTCTACTAAAGCATTAAATGAACACATGAAATCTGTCAGTGATACTGCAGATAATGTTTTTGCTGTTTAAAAGGGAAGAGCTCATAAGCAGAAGAATGAAATAAAATTCATTCTCCATTTGTTGTACTAATGCACATTGTGATATGATGGTTTCTATTGCCTTGGTTTTGTGTACTAGTGAAACAATAAGTATTATTTTTTCCCTGACCTACTATTGTTTCCATAGGCTAAGACACTATGCAGTAATATTTTCCCTGTTTAATTTTTTAAAAAGTAGCACAAGCAACATCACACTGCACATTTAAAGTAATAATTAAGTTGACTGTTTCCAAGGTTTAAAATTGAATATGTGCAGTATTATTGTTCATGTAAAGTACATAAAAGTAACCTCAGGTCTCACTTAGCATATCGTGCAAACTCTTGGAAATCACTGACTTCACTAACAGTATCTGTTTACAAAGCTTATTTGCTGTGTTTCTTAAGTACTTTCCAAAGTATTAGAACCAAATAATAATAGTCAAATACTAGTCAAAAGAACCACTTAAATGGCATAGAAAGTGTACTAAATTTTTATTTGCTGAACCATGTTCTTTTCATACTCTTGCAAGGTATGTGTGTTGTTGTGGAGCAGGGAGGGCATGTAGATCCATCCTCCTTAATGAAACAACAGGCTTCTATACTGCTATGGGCTTGGTAGGCATTGGAGCACATTTGGGTTTTGGGGCACATGCCAGCCAGGGGGTAGTTAAATGCTCCTTGGTTTCTTGTATGAGTCCAGCATTAAACATTAGGTTGAAATCAGTTCCACATGTACATGAGAAAGTGATTTCTTACTAGGTCACCTGTGCAAGATGAATCAGATTTTCCAATTTCCCTCTACCCCCTTATTATGACTACTATAAATGTGTATAGATAGATATATTTGCTTTGCATAGAGAAACTGAGGAAGTGTAGAAAACTAAAATGATATGTCCAATTCTTACACAGTGAGTCACCAGTAAACTCAGAAATCCAGAGGCAAAACTTCAGTAGTTCCCATCTTTTGATTTAGTGTCTACACAAATGACGTGAGAGGTTTTTGTTGTTTGTTCTTTTTGTAACCTAATTGTGAGGACTTTTAGATCTTCTGACAGAAACATATGGACAGCAAGTAGGCTTTTTTACTTTTTTTTTTCCTGTCAGATCTACTTCTGTTTTCCTGGGGGAAAGGGAAGAATGGATAGCTGACAATTTGTCACCTAGACTGTTTCTCTATCACATTTTTCTCCATGTTGCATATATAATGTTTTGTAGCGATTAGTTTTTTTTGTCTTTCAATCCTTACTGAACCATTTGCAAATGGCTCTTTAGCATAAGTGAGGAGTATATCAGTAAGATGGCACTTTGAGGTAAAGTTTTTTACCTTTAGCAGTACATCTTGCTTGAAAAAGTGTCATATATGTTGTTCTGTTGATTTTTTTAAATTTTTTTTTTATTTTAGGCAACCATACTTTTAATAGAACTCATCAGAAAGAACTTCATAAACAACAAATTGAAGCAATGCCTTCTACCAACACTTGGAGAGCTTCTTTACCTCATAGCCAGCAAGGTAAGAGTATAAGTGATTCTTACAAATTTAACAAATGTGAAAAAATTTTCAATGGAAAAGTAGACCAAAAAAACAAATTACTCCGTCATTTATATACCGAATGGCTTCTGGTATATTCTATGATACTTTTTCTACTTTAAGAAGTTTATTAGCCCAATCACTTACTACATTTGAGATTATTCAAATTGCATTCTTCAAGGGATTTCTAACTCAATAAAAGAATTTAATCAACCACCATAAACACTGCTGGCCTCTGTGGCAGATCTAAGGGTTAGAACATCTTAACTAGAGATGTTGCTTAAACAGGTTATGTCAGGACAGCCTGTAATATCAATAAATTAATATATGAATAAATCTATATATCTAGTCCATCTCATTCTAGCATGGATGGATTCACAGCACTGTGGAAAAGGAAATGCAATCTTTTCCTCACTTAAACTGATTTAACCCTTCAGTCTAGAAATATTAAATTCACATCAAGAGTAAGCAGAGGTTATTTGTAGAACAGAAATGCTGTCAGTATTAGGAATTGAAGATGAATGCTCCTCAAACTCTCACCTTTCATCCATGTTTTATTTTCTTCATCCTCTAGCTCCTTTGCCTGTTCCATGAGATGTAGTGGTTGCCTTGATTTCTGTAGGTTAGCAAGTCATGTCCATTTTGGTTAGACAATTGCCAAAATTTTTGTCAAATACAGTCATAGAATTTGTTCTTACACTGACAAATTATGTTCCAGAAAATACGTCCACAATCACAGTTTATTTTTGTTTTAATACTTTCTCAGTTTTCCTCAGGAGAAAAAAATTTGTACATAGCATCATCAGAGAGATGACTAACTGTATGTTTTTAACCAGTAATAAAAACAAATAAACCTAAAACTCCAACTTGAAAATTATATTTGGCAAGAGTATTTTGCATGGCTTGATTTTTATTTCAAAATTAAACTTTCGGTGTTGAAACAAATCTGTTTGCACTGGCTCTACACCAGCAAAATTATTTGGATGTGTTGACCTGAGTAGATTTTTTGCTTCTGAAAATGTGAATTGACAAATGTTTGAGTCTGTGTATTTATCAACTTAACAATGTTTGAAGCATTATAACTTTCAATGGCAACTCTGTCAGGTTTCAGGAAGATCTATAGCAATGGGGTGCATTGCTTTGAGTTATAACTAGGAAATTATTAGGGAATAGGAATAAATATCTGGACACATGAAGTCAAGATGCTGTGTCTTGGTGAAACTTGGAAAATATCAGTGTGATTTGTATGCTTGGGGATACTGACACTTTTTCTTAAACCCTTTATAAAGCTTTAATATCTCTATTCTGTATGTATTTAACCTCAGAATACTGTAGTGTTGTAGGCATTTTATTTTGTTGATCATTAAACTGCTGAACAGTAGTACTGAATGACCTTGCCAAGATCACATACCAAGTCAGTGGTAATATAATAAGTTGAAACAAAGTTTATTCCCAACTTACTACTTTAAGCAGAAAAGTTTTATGCCTTGACTAATTAAAAAAAAATAAATCATAACTGCATCTAATTCTTTAAGGTCTATGCACAAAATATTTTTTTCTTTTTGTCCTTGTTTTCTCTTGATTTGCTCTTCAACCTGATTAATTGTTTTATCAAACTAAGTTTTTGAGAGCACATGGCTGATGTTATTTATTTATTCCCTCTGGGGTTTTGCTAGGTGTTTCTAGGTCCAGCCACAATAATAATATTAAATAATGATAAAGATTATGCATTTTTCATATGAACATTTGGTAAATCATAAATTATCAAATACCTAAAATCAAGTTCAACTATTTAGGTGTAGGATGATTCGTTAGGTTAAATACAGGATCACTGGTTGCACTTCAGTTGCCTAGAAAATACTGGGGTAAAGTCCAGATAATCATAATGGTCCTCTGCAATCCTAAACTCTGATATTATGTGTCTACTTGCATATTAGATCTCATAAGTAAGATCTTATACTCCATCTCTGCATTTTTATTCTGAACAGAAGCCAAGGGCAATTCACAAACAGCATGAGCAGATTCTGGGGAGGATGCTCTGATACTCTTGAGTGAATTGCCTTGGGGGAAAGCTTTCAAGTTCTATGCAATATTTTTATTCATTTTGTGCTGTTTGTATTATTTGGGTACAGAACCTAAAGTTTAATCAAAATCAACATGGGCTGTGAGCAAAAAGTAGGAAGATTCCCCAGTGTTTGGTGATATATTTAAATTTATGAAATGTCAAATTGTGTAGGTATGTTTAGGTAATTAAGAATGGTGCTAAGTTTCATACCCCTTTTGCCTTCTTTATTTCGAACTAGAGACTAAACCTTGCAGAAAGTCATTAATCAGTTTGAAGAATGGAAGAACTATTAATGTTTCAGAACTGCACCATTGCTTAAGGCTTTTTATTTATAGTACATTTAATATGTATGGTTACAGAAGAACTTGATGGAATTTCTGATTAAATTAGGTGAATAAAATGAGAACCAGACCCATGCCAGTTCCAACACAGGCTATCATTTTAAATCTGTCTTGACTCCTAGTCTTGTCCTGCCTTTTCCACGTGGAAAAGTTTCCACTTTGGACTGTTCAAAAGTAACCTTCCATTCTTTTTTGAAAATTGGGCTGCATTTTTTTTAAGCTAAGGCTTGGAAGGCAAACTGTGATTAAATGTCAGCATGTTGCTACTCATTTAAGAGGAAGGAGGTGGAATGTAGTAGATCTGGTGTCTTTGCTGGATGTCAAGCCACTCATTGTCTGTAAATTGCTTCCAAGGAAAATCGTTCCATACCTCCTAATATAAAGTTTGAAGAAATAAAGCTTTAAAAAATGGGAGATTTAACAAACTCATTTTCTCTAGTGATATATGTTGCAAATAACGTTTTGATTCATTTTCAATAAAGAAGGAAAATGAATTTTGCTAGGCAATTCAATAATAGTCCTCCCTGCTAATTTGCCATGCTTTAATTAAATGCCTGTCATTAACACAACATATTTATGTTGAATTACTGTAAGCCACTCAGAAATCACCAGATTTAGAAAGTATGATTTTTTCTGTATCATTAACCCCCACGTTGCCCATCCTATGCTTTTCATTATGCAAAACTAATTACAATGCTAAAAATAATGCACTAATACAATCAACAGAGTTCAAGAATTTTATGATTTCTGAAGAAATTATTGCTTGTCTACTTATTAAAACAAGTTGCGCTTGGATTTCATGGCCTATCATCTTCACACCATTCAATGCCTATTATTTTGCACTTTGTTTGCCAAAACAGGCTATTTTTTTTCAGTTGTTAATAGCTCTGTGCTACTAGCTTGGACATGGTGGTTATTTCACTTAAATCTTAATAGTATCCAAATGTTCCCTTTTCAACTGAAAGTTTTACAGTAGATTATTGTGGGGGATGGAGGGAAACAAAGTTCACTTCTAATATAAGAATCAATCCCCCAATTCAACAGCAATGAATTAGCCTAACAGGGTGATTTCAGGGAAATATACACTAAGCTCTTGGAACGCTGTTCATATGTACTGAAGGCCGTACCATAATGTAAGTTTTATTGAACACTTTATCTCCATGTATGACTTTCAGGTTTTTTTTTCCAAACTAAGTTTGTTGTTTTTATGGGGTTTTTTTGAGTTGCTAGACAAAATTAATTTTGTTTATTTGATGTAATTAGATCACTTTTAAAGAGAAGCATTACTACTGTTCATAGTCAGTTGTCTCTTTCTGAAGTACTCAAAATGGTTGAGTATTGTACAAGAATATTTTTTATGTCGTTGTGAATTAGAAAGAGTTGAAGAAACGCAGAAATATTAGGACAAATTCTGTTATGGATTTTGGAGACTATTTAAATAAGCTAATAAAATATCAATCTCTGTGTTGCACATGAAATCACATTAAATAGTAATAATGCCCTGGAATTTAATGTATTTCATAGCATATGTTAATTTGAAATGTGTATAATATGAATCTTATTAAGAATCTGTTACCCATTTTTTATGTGACTGAGGTTGTTGTGATTTTTTGATTTAATCATTTGTGCCGTTGGCTTCATTTCAGGAGGAAAAAGGGGAGCACCCCCGAGAATGCTGGGCTGTTCCCTCAGCTGCTTACATTGTGCTAATGAGATGTCTTCGGGACGGGGTAAGGCTCTTTCATGGTCCTCAGTAGAATTTCTCTACAGTAATAACCCTTTAGGCATTGTGTGAGGATAGTAGCCTGCAGCACTGCAGTACCTTGTCAACCAAGTATTGCTCTTGAATTTAAATAATTGTGATAAGACCATGACCTAAGCAGGAGATTAATGCAAAAATGCGGTGTTGTTGTCTGTGCATTCAACATTTATGGATTTCTGCTTGTTTTGGGGGAAATAGGATAGTAAATATAAATTGCTGTTAATAAATGTGAAATTTATTAATGATGTGACTTGCTTTCTAGAAATATTTTGGCAGCTTGTTCTGTCCTCTTGCAGTTTGATTTTTACACATCTTTGAGCAAGATTTAAGTTTCTGTTTTGAAGTGGGTGATAAACATTTTTTAAAAACTATAATGGGTTGTTAACATTCCTTTGAGGTCAAAAAGTAGTAATTAATTTTATTCTCATACACCTGCTATGCTGTGTTCTTCATTGTTCTTGGTGATGACTTAGCTGTGCTAGAGGAAGGGAAGGAAAACATGCAATTAGTTCCAGTTTATGAAATGAAAAAGAATTGAGTAGAGGGTTTACATTCACTGTTTGTATGAGACCACTTGCCTTTATTTTTGCCCAAGGCAAAGCTCAAGGCAGAAAACATGTCGGAGGTTGCTGAAGGGTGGAAAGTAAGAGGAAATACCTTTTATTCTTCCTTGTTGAGATCTTTATTGCCTACAGATTGTGATTAATAGAGGAAGAGTCTAGATGCATTTTAATATCTTCAAACCTTCATGTGATCAAGAACACACAACTGAGTTTGTATTGTGGACTATTTCCAGATCATAATTAGAGTAAGATGTCACTCTAAGGTGCAGTAGTGAGATGCTATTTAATTATAAATTTAGTAATGGAAGACTTGTTATTTCTGAATATTCAGTGTAGAGAAACTAAATCGAGACATCCATAAGACAGTAATTTATTCCTATAGAATAAAATCACTTCTTAACTCCTGAAACATGTCAAATTTTTCTTAATAATTTATCTTGATATATTTTTCTTGACAAAATAACACAAAATAGACATGCATCTCCCATGCAGTAGTTCAAATTAAATTTAATTAAGCATAAATTTAAAGTAATGTCTGGGCTAGCCAAGCACAGCTGTGCATTTGTACAGTTTCTGTTCGTGAATATGCTCATTGGTAATGGAGATATTTTTATTTTTTTAAAACATGTTTGAAGCTGTAACACTGTAGAACACTTTAGGATGGAATCGACCTCTGGAGGTCACCTAATCCAACCTCCTGTTCACAGTAGGTCTAAATAGATGAGATTGCTCAGGGACATGTCTGACTCATGAATGTCTCTCAAGAATTATGGTCTCACAATCTCTCTGGGAAATACCTGCACCACTCTTGTAGGAAAAACATTTTACTTGTGTATGATTGGAGTTTCCCATATTACCATGTGTGGCCTCTTGTCCTACAGCTGTGCACCTCTGAGAACATTTATCCCCAACTTCTCTTTATTCCTTGATCAGGTAGTTGTAAACAGCAATAAGAACTTTCTTTTCTCCAGGCTGTTCAGCTCTCTTGCCCTTTCCTCATATGCCATATGCTCCAGCCCTCAGACCAACCTGATTCCATTCTGTGATGGGGACATGACTGGTGCTGTGGGTAAGGGAAGAGCAGTGGATTTTGTATGCCTTGACTTTAGGAAGGCCTTTGACACTCTCTCATAGTCCCCTTATCACCAGATTGGTGAGATTTAAACTGCTTAAATGGAAGGTAAGGTGGGCAGGAAAATAGACTCAACCTGTCAGTTCTGCAAAGTCCAGCTGGCAGCCAATAACTCTGTGTCCCTCAGAGATCAATGCTGCTTAATGTCCTCCGTAATGACCAGAGTGATCAATTAGAGTGTATTCTTCAGCTGGATAACACAAAATTGGTGAGGGGAACTGCATCAATATTCTGGATGTCAGGGCTGCTGGTCAGAAGGACTAGAACAGACTGGAAAAATGGGCTGATGAGAACCTCATGAAGTTCAACAAGACTGAGGGCAAGGGCTTGCCTCTGGGCTGGAGTAGGCCCTTGCAACAGCACAAGCCCTCTAGGAAGCAGTCCTGCAGAAGGGAGCTTGGGGGTACGAACAAAAATGATGCACAAGCTAGCAGTGTGCCTCAGCAGCAAAGAAGAGCTATGGCAACACAGGCTGTATTAGCAAGAAAGTAGCCATCAGGTTCAGGGAAGTGGTTCTTCCACTCTGTTCAGTGCTAATGAGACCACATCTGGAGTACTATGTTCAGTTTTGGGCTCCCCAGTGCAAGAAAGATCCTGACATTCAACAGTGAGTCCACCAGAGTGCTACCAAGATGATAACTGCAAGAAAAATCTTCATGTTCAGAATCACTCCTTAAACATCCTCTTTGCTTGGCAATGAATGAATGTTTTCTAGTTACATTCATATAGTCTTTTATGCAGACAATAAAGCACAAACCATGGTCACATGTAAAGAAAATTAGGATCAAGTGCCTTTCATCTTTTTGCTTTTAAGGGGAGGCAAGTAATAAAAAATGATTAGTTTGGACCTTTGGACGTTTTGTGTTCCAGCCTCCTGTCAAAACAATGCCAGCTTCTAGTTGCATTCCAACTAGCTTTCTACATGCCTTGTAGTCCACTTAAGTCTAGGTATTTGCTGTACTTAGGAAACCAACTGGAGAGAAGTAAAGCTGAAGTAAATGAAACTCACTGCTCCCTGTTAGTCCACTGAGCCAGTAATCTTGTGATTGAAGTTGATCATGTTGATCAGGTGGGTTTTGCTCTTTATAAATATGTTCTTCGTCTTCTTGATCATCATACACTTGCAAATAGATTCCAGGAAGACTTTCTCTGTAATTTTTTCAGGGTCAGAGTTTGGAATTCCTCTTTTTGCCCTTTAGAGGGGTGTGCCCTTTGCTCCCCACTCCCAGTGAACAGGACTATCTTCTGGTCACCACAGATGTTTGCCTTCTCACAACCATGTTGACTGGCTTCCACAGCCAGGTTGCATCCTTTCTGGTTCAATGTACTTAAGGGCATTCAGTTTAAGTGTCCCATACCTTTCTTTCCTGTAGGCATTCTCCCCCATGCTTTGCCGTTTGAAACAAGGATGTGGAAGGTCCGAAATTGAAACTAGGGATTGAGGCAGAGAAGGCACCAAGATCCTGAGTGTTTTCTATGTCCTTTGGCCCCATCTCATTCAGCAGTGAACTCAGTTTTCCTCAGTCTTACTTTTGTTACTCGTGTACCAATAGAAACCCTTCTTGCTGCTCTTATATCAGTGCTTTTTTGTTGTTTTTGTTTTTTTTTTTTTTTTTTTTTGCTCACCGAATATACTGGCTCTAATGTGTTGTGGGGTATTGTTTAGTTTGGGGTTTTTTTTTGTGGCACAGAACCACCTTGTCCAAGCAGTGAGTGGCTCACAATGTTTAGTGACTGGTAGGCAGGTGTGGTAGGGGAGTGTGTGGGTGACACTTCTTGCCCCCATCCTGTTGTGAAACTGGAGATGATATAGTTAAAATGAACAATCTAAGGTTTTTTTAAGGTCCAATTTAAAACTAAAATGAGCCTCTGTGTAAACTTTATTGCTTGCACTAGTAAAGCACTGATACGAAAATCCTGAAAATATTATCTAAGATTGCCTTAATTATGTTTAATGTTCTTTCACTGCAACTCAAGATCTTGGTTGCTGTATTTCTTTATTTTTACGTTTTAGCCTGTTGTCTGCTATTTATACAATACATTTCCCTGATGTAACAATTTATTACATGTAGGTAAGCTTTGCATTCTAACAGTAGTAATTTAAAAATAATAATTAAATTCAATTAAATAATAATTTTAATTGTTCCAAGCTCAATAAATTAAATTTTACATCTGTTTGTTTCCTGGAGTGAATGTTTTCTGATGTGTCTATTGCATCAGGATTTTATGAAAACTTTTTTTGATGAAGTCTGAATTACCACAGTGCATTATTTAAGCATTATACTTAGTTGCCAGTTAGGAAGCTTTATTTGATGTACTTAATATGAATTCAAGGAAATAAAACCAGTTTATATCATTCAGTACTATAGTTGCTACAACTTTGAGTTTTGTAACGTACATTCACTATTTTTCAATTCCATTGTGAACTATTCTGTAGTGCTTTTGGATTTCTGAAGTTTTGTAAGATTTATCATTATCAAAGCAGAATTACCCTCTGAAACAGAACAATAGAGAAGGAAGGAGTTTGATGTGTGTGTCCCTTTTTTTTTTGCTTACAAAGGAACAAAATGTTCAGAAAATGTAGGTAGCATTTCCATATACCTTCTGTGCCTTCAAATCTAGCAGTGTATGTGTGGGTGAAAGGAGTTTTAGGGTAGTGGTGCAGAAGACAGGGCAAGTCTTTCGTCTGTGGGGGATCACAAGTTCAGATTTCCTGCACTTCAGTGTTGTTAGCCTGAGATAGAAGCTGATTTTCAACTCAGGTAATGAACAGTTGTCTGCAGTGATATTTCAAAATAAGGGAATTGGTACAATCATAAATAAGAAAATTGTAAGCTTGATTTGACATGTTTAGTCATGATATAATGTTGTGGTCTGTCAGAACCCACAAAGTAAATATTCCAATATTTATTTAGTAATCTCTTCCAACATCTGTTTCCAACAGTGACACAAAATGCCTGTTCCAGTTCAACATTGAAACATGTTCCAGTTCAACATTGAAGTATTTGTGTGTTGTCTCTAAGATAGCAGGGTCCTGATTTCTCTTAGCTCCTACAGTTCCTATGTTTTCCAGTAATGAGTTACTTTCTGTTTCAGAAAGGATAATCTTATTTTAATATTAAGTACTTAATGCTAATGTGACTACCCTTTTCCTTTCTTCTGTTTTACTTATTCAAAACTCCTTTCCTAAAGTTACTCTTGTCTACTTGGCCCCAGATGTATCATTCCATCTCTTATTTGCATTGTATTGTTGGCTCTGCATATTGTTTTTCT